TGGGAAGACTGCCGAGGGCAAAACTTGGGATGTGGTAACTTTATGACAATAAACACCAGAAATGTTTACCATATTCACTCGATCATAGTGATGACTAATTTTTAAGTATTTTTATTATTTAAGGTACTTTTTAAAAATGTGTGGGTGTCTTGCCTGCATGCATATATATGTACGCGCACCACTTGCGTTCCTGGTTCCCGTACAAGTCAGAAGGGGACGTCAGAACTTCTGGAACTGGAGTTACAGATGGTTGTGAGTTGCCATTTGAATGCTTGGAACCATACTTGGGTCTTCTGCAACAACAGTAAGTTGCCTTAATCACTGAGCATCGTTCCAGTCCTCACTATTTTAATTATTTGAACTATGTATATATGTTTGTGGACTTAGGGCAGTGCAGGTGTCCAAGAAGGCAAAGAGGCATCAGATCCCCTACACCACCCTACCAATGGTGCTCTAGGAGTCAAAATTTGTACCTCTGGAAAGCAGTACATACTCTCTTGGAGCCTCAGCTAGCACCCCGGTGACCTCACAGTTTCTGTAATAGGGTTTCATCCAGCCTCAGATTTTATCTATAAGCTCCAAAAAACCTTGTGCCAGATTTCATGAAAAGACCTATACATATAAGAAAAGGAGACCCAGGGAAGGCAGGGTAGCCACAAATCCCGGTGGACAGAAGAATCTACTACTAGTTAACCACTCAACCAACCTTCGAGCCCCAAAGATGTCATTTTTTTAATAATTTTAATTTTTTATTGAAAATAGATTTTTTATAATTTTTATATTAATAGATTTTTATAAAAATAGATTTTATAAAAATAGATTTTTATAATTTTAATTTTTATATTAATCTTTGTATAATTAATTAATACAAAGTTATTTACTTTGTATCCCAGCTGTATCCCACTCCCTCATTCCCTCCCAGTCCCTCCCTCACTCCTCCCTGCCCCTTTCCAAGTCCACTGATAGGGGAGGACCTCCTCCCTTTCCATCTGACCCTAGCTTATCAGGTCTCCAAAAATGTCTTTTAAGTAGATATCATAGTGGGTTGTTTTTTTTTTTTCAACATATCTCCCAAATTTTCCATCCAAATTTTCTGTCCATTGCAGGACAGCTTTGTCAATTTTGCATTTAAGAAAACGCCCTCTGCTGGCTGTCAAGAGCATTGAAGGAGTGCAGTGTGGAAGTAGGTTATGTATACCTCAGATGAGAGTAGGATGGGAATTTGGACTCTTTTTTAGGTTTATTTTTTATGCTTTTTGTTTTATTTTGTCTTTCTTTCTTTTTCCTTTCTTTCTTTCTTTCATTCTTTCTTTCTTTTTTTTTTTTTTTTGAGATAGGATTTCTCTGCATAACCTTGGCTGTCCTAAAAGTTGCTCTGTAGACCAGGCTGGCTTTGAACTCAGACAGATCCTCCTGCCTCTGCCTCTGCCTCCCAAGTGCTCAGATTAAAGGCGTGTGCGACCCCTGCCCGAGATATTTGTGTCTGTTAGTGTGCATGTGTGTGTTTAAGTTTCAGAACAGTTTTAGATTTGAGCACTTTCTCAGAAAAAGGCATAATGGATTTGAGGGAGGAAGGGGACAAATATAACATGCCATTTTCATTGCATCATAACAAAGGTAAATACTAGCAGTATGACATCACTATAGATGTAAACTTTGATCACCTGGCCAAGGTAATGTCTATCAGGTTTCTCCACCCTAAAGTTACGATTTCTGCCTTGTCTATGTTGTACTCTGAAGAGAGGCTAAGTGCCCCTTCCTTTTCTGGGCCTCTGAGTCTTTGATATGGTTTGAATGCTAGATCTTGAAAATAGCTCTATATGTTCTGGTGGGGGGGTGTTTTGTTTTGTTTTTCTTTTTTACATGCTCTTGATAAAAGTTTTGGAGAGAAGATAGGGATTTTCATGACTCTGATTCTGACCTTGACTCACCTTGTTGGAGTTAGGTCAATAGAGTTAGAAGGAAGGAATGTCCTAGTCAGACATGGTGCTGTTCACTTGTAAGTACTCAGAAGGCCAAGGCAGTGAGATTGCTTGAGCCCAGAATGCAAGTCCAGCCTGAGAAACATAGCAACATTCTATATATTCTATATTCCTCAAAAGGAGAAACAAGCTATTAAAAAAGAGAAGGGGGATGTCTTATCCAAGGTAAGGCAGTATCTCAAGACTAGAGTTTATAGAATGGGATCTTAATCCAAGGCATCTTGTGGAGAATGAGGATATATATCCCAGAACTATCTGAACCCAGTCCCAGTGAGTATCTGTATAGGAAGGGAAATAGAGAAGTGGAGATCTCAGGGGTGAAGACCCTGGAGTGGACCAGCAAGGAAGTCAGTCTGAAAAAAATGGCTCATGCAGTCAAATAGGGAGCAGGCCTGGTTCCTCTTGCCTCAATCTGTCCTAACTGATATATTTCCCCCATCCTCCCTAGAAGGTCTCAATCCTCCCAATTACTATTTTAGCCAAATTATTCTGGGAAAATCAGGTCAGGAGTAACGACTTGTCCAAGATCCCAGGACATAGTCTTCAGCATGTTCTCCCCCAACCCCCAATAAAATCCTACTCTGTTCATTCTGGCATTTGAGGCTCTTCTTTATCCACCCTATCCAAAAGGGACACTGGTCTTCTGGGACATTCTTAGGAACACATTATGGTATTCTAATATGGTTGGCCAGAGTGATCATGCTCTGAGCTAAAATATGGAACAAGAGGAGTTTTTCACTCAGAGTGGCATCTTGTTACCAGTATTTTCCTTTCTCAGACTGGATCTTCAAAAAGAAGGTTAGAATGTTTTTAAGGTCAAACCTATCTCTAAAGTACAGCGTACGGTGAGCATCAGTGAACATGAGCATCACTGTGCGAGGTACTGCACACCTGTAATTCCAGCCCTCTGGGAGGCAGAGGCAAGTGGATCTCTGTGAGAGGCCAGCCTGGTCTACAAAGTGAGTCCAGGACAGCCAAGACTACACGGAGAAACCCTGTCTCAAAAAACAAAACAAAACAAAAAAAAAAAAAACACTGACCAAACAAACAAAACATGAGCATCATGAAGTAACTGTAAACAGAATCCAGGAGAATGAATAATGATGGGCTCCATGCTCCCCAGGGCCTGTTCTTATACTGAAACTACTTGTTTTTGTAGGCCTCACATTTTATAGCTTTCTTCAACAAAGGTACCTGCTGCTAGGTATGAGGTTCCCAAGATTTCCTGATGTCACAAAAGTGCCATTCACTTTTGTAGACAGAATCAGATTGGCAGGGACAAAACTGGATTCAGGAATGTCCCTCTGTAGGTGACAAAAGAAGCCAGCATTTGTTCTCTCAAATATTCATTCAATAATATTCATTAAATACCTACTATGTGCCTTATACTAGACTGAGTAAACTCATAGGCTGTCCACAAATGTCAGATTTAGACATTAACAGCAGGTCCCACAGGAATATAGCAAGGAAACAAAAGAAAATAAGTCTCTGTCCTGTTGGAGCTAAGAAATCAAGTTCAGTTTTTGTGTCATTGATCTCTTTTGTGACCTAGTGAAGCCTGTAGACCTTTTCTCCTGAAAATATCCTTTAAAGTAAAAAAAAAAACATATCTAGTATTAGAAAGAAAACTATTGAAATATTAAAATACAAAAAATGCGATGTGATGACTTAATGACTACAATGATTATCATGATTTTAGATTTATTTTTATTGATGTGTGTATTTGTGTGTGTGCTCCTATGCATGCATGAGTGTGCTTTGCAAAGGTGTGAGGCACATGTACTCAGGTGACAGTGAAGGCCAGAATAAGGTATCTGGTCCCTTGGAGGCGGCGTTACATGCAAATAACATTCTTGCTGGCAACCCTCCTCTACAAGAGCAGCAAGCACTTTTAACCACTGAGTTATCTCTCCAGCTTTTGATTATCATGATCTTTAATCACTGATTATATATTTCAGAGATTACATATTTGAGAGATCTGCAACTTCATAATGTGATAGACAAATCTCTAATTGCTACTGGTAAGAGTCATCAATATTACTATTAGTGTCATGGTGAGTTACATTCTTTATTGAAAACATGCTAAATTTTGATAAACAGAGAGAAAAAAAAGATGTAAATTCATTCCCATCCAAGTCATTTCTTCCTGCCCCCAAGCCCTACCCGCTAGACTCTCTTGGAGGATCTGTGCTACCCAAATTTAAAAACTTGCTAATAGAAGAAGCCTTCCTGTCTTCCCTACTTTCTTAAACAGCTTTCCTTTAGAAGACAGAGAGCTGTTTTGTTTTTTGTTTTGTTTCGTTTCTGAGTAATTGACCCACATTTTCAGGCCAGTAAGTTTGCCTCTTTGGAAGGCAGCTACTCTCACCACTATATTACCAATGCCTCATCGAGATTGCCTCTTTAGGTCATAGCTTGTACTTGAACAAATAAAATCTGCCCAGTAGAAGTGGCTCATACCTTTAATGCCAGCACCCGGGAGGCAGAGGCAAGCCCGGTTTACACGGTGAGTCAGCTAGGGCTACGAAGTAGGATCACCTTATTTTCCATGGATAGAATTAGGAACAAGGCTCTCCAACTCCTACAAGTGGGTGTGGAGCTATAGGAAACTGGAAGCAAAGTCTCTTAGCAAAACAGTGTAAGGACAAAGCGGCTACAGAAAAAAAAAAAGAAGAAGACGTCAGGAAAGTCACAACTCTATTCAGTGATCTGCGCTTACTCTGGGTTAGGGTTTCCTGCGTGTCACAAGCGACCCCCGGAAGGCCAGTCCAGTAGACCGGCAAAAGGAATAAGGAATGATCCTTTCCTGGCCAGTGTTGTTAACTGAAGAGCTTGGCTCATAAACCAATCACACCCTCGAGAAGGTGGAGTTTTCATCCGTGCTTCCATCTCCAACCAATCCCAGGGAAGGCAGGAGTGCACTCCTCCAATGGGAGCTGAGGAGCCGGCGGTAGTGCTGTAGCTCCGTTACCCTGCCAGCGCTGCGTGGAGCATCGCGTGAAGCGTCCTGTGTCTGCGAGATCTTGCTGTGGGCCAGGTATCCATTCTCCTGCGACAGCTGTAGAACCTACGGAGACTAGAGGTATCCCGAGAGAAGTAGTAAAAAAGGGGTGGTGGGTAAGAGAGCGGCGGGAGGGGAGAGAACTGCCCAGAACGCATGTGGGGAGGGACCTGGCACGCTTTTACCTGGGCGGCCTTTCAACTCTAGGTCCGTGGGTGGTGGAGGATCATAACAAAAAAAGGAAAGGCGAGTGCTCCTGTGTCCCCTCCAGGCCGCACGCAGGTGAGTACCCTTTGAACCCACCAACCATGCCCACCCTCTGTGGGCCTCCCCATCCCAGTCCCTGAGGAAAAGATTTCATGCAGGTCTGCTGCTCACGTGATTGTCTGTGTTCTAGTCTTGACTCCATGTCTGCCTCTACCCAACATTTTCTCTCCCTCTCCCCTCTGTCCTTCCCCCTCTCCCCTCCCTCCCTCTGTCTCCCCTCCCTCACTCTCTCTTCCCTCTCTTCTCCTCCCCCCCTCTGTGGCCCCATGCTAAGACACCCCAGACTCAGGAGTCCTAATCCTTAACTGATTGACCACTTGAAACCGGCTATAAAACTTTGAACTATCTGCTTTCTATCCGGCTCAGTCATCTGTCAAATAGAGGGGGCGTCTGTCTCTATCAGAGCCAATTCACATGCTTGGTCCCTAGGAATTTTTTTTCAATAAATGATGATGATGATGATTGAAAAGCATATTGATTCTCTTAGTTTGACTTTTTTTCCACCTTGTCTGTCTCTGACTCTATCCCCACTGGATCTTTTGTAATGCTTTTGTCCTCTTTCTTTCCACACTGAACCTCTTTTCTATCCCTAATGTGGTTAGAGGTGCAGTATTTATAGTCTCATTGAGGAAAGCACCCTCTTTGCTCCTCAGCCTTCTTTGTTAAACAGGTAGAAACTCCAAGGATGACAAGAAAATTATATTGAAAACCATGTTTTAGCCACCTTTGGTGGTAGTACGTAACTATATTTATAGCATGCAGGAGGAATGCCACAAGTTCAAGGCCATCCTCAGCTACATAGTAAGGTCAAAGTAAACCTATGGTGTCAAAAACTGTCTCGATTCCCCGACTCCCACCGCCACCTATACACAAAACACCTTTGTTGTTGTTGTTGTTTGAGACAAGATGTCTCTGTGTAGCCTTGGCTGTCCTGGAACTCGCTCTGTAGACCAGGCTGACCTCAAACTCACAGAAATCCACCTGCCCGCCTCTGCCTCCCAAGTGCTGGGGTTAAGCCGCCGCCGCTGCCAACACCACCACCACCCCATGCCCACAAAACACTTTAATAGCCATTATGTAATGTTGGTCATCAACAGATAGTCCAAGGATCTTGTAATTATGCCTCCATGTAGCCTTGGGCATCTTTCCTGTCCTCACCCAGGTGTCTAGATTAGACCTTTTGAAACTCACTGCCAAGTAATCATCAAATTTCATCCTCATTCCCTTCTTAACTTTTGAATATTCTTGCTATAACTTTGTCATTCTGACACCTATAGATCCAATATTCTATTTTTATAATGTATATTTTGCCTCCTTCACTACTTTTAAATGAATAGCATAAAAAGAGTCTACATACACAATCCTCCCACAGCTAATATAACATTTTAGTTGTAATATAAGGGAGAAAAATTAATTTTTTTTTTACTTATTTGTTTTTGGTTTTCGAGACAGGGTTTCTCTTGAATACAGTGCTGGCTGTCCTGGAACTCACTTTGTAAACCAGGCTGGCCTAAAAGTCTGCCTCTGCCTCCTGAGTTCCGGCATTAAAGGCATGTGCCACCACAGCTGGCTGAAGAAAAATTTATAATAAAACAGTGTGCACTTCAGTACATAAATGCTTTGCTATGACTTTGCTGCAAGACATAATGAAGTAAGCATACACATAAGTTACATATATGTGACTTGTGCATGTGACAACTACAGGTGTATTGAGTGGTGACTCAGAAACCATAGGTAGGCTATAGTTCCATTTCTATAAACAATGAATAATTCTTCATAAAGTTCTAAATAAAAGAATATATAAGAGTCTCTCATGTATGGTTGTTAGAGTTTTAGAAAAGTGAATATCCTTGATTACTTTCCTCTCTAGTCTGTTCCCCTACTCCACTTCACCTCAATGGTCTCCTTAATGTTACACGAATGCATTAAGCATACTCATGCCTGGATGGTTTTGTATTAGGCCTTTCCCTGTCTTTAAAATATTTTTCACCCAATATCCACAGTTACTATGCTCTCACTTTCTTCAGGTTTCTATATAGCTGTCGTTTTCTTTTTGCAGTCTACCATGATGATCCTGCTTTAAAAAAAATCATCCCAGTCCAAACACTAACCCAACTTTATTGTTCCCATTGCATTCCACTTTCTTACCCAGCACAGTCCTGTGTTGCTTAACAATGGGAATATATTATGAGAAATGTATCATTAGATAATTTGATCCTTGTACAGAATATAGGGTGCTTACTCAACCAAGACCTTTGTGACATCACCACTCAATACAATATTATAGGATGAACATCATTTAAGCAGACCAGTGTTGACCAAAACACCATTAGACAGTGTTTGGCTGTGTGTTATTTACTTCTACTGTGTTTTTAGTTTATTGTCTATCGCTCTGCACAGTTGTGAGCTCTAGAAAAGGGAAAGGATTTTTGTCTTTTCTTTCCCCCCTTCCTGATGGGTCTGTAGTACTTAAAACGCTACTTGGCACATGATAGGCTCTCTTAAGTAAATGTTGATCTAGTGGATTAATTATAAATTAATAAACAGACTTATTTAAACCTAACTAATAGTTTGGCAGGTCAGGCTGTATGGATGTGGAACAATTCTTTGTTATGTGGCTCTGTCTTGTGCACTGCAGAATGTTCAGCATCTCTGCTGGATGCCCACTAAGTATCATGCCAATCAGAAATGCCACCCCCTAAACGCTCTTTGACTTGAATGGTGTTCTAGCTTTCCTCTAAACACTCTTGCCCACTCTTGCAACGTCCCTATACTCTACTTAGTGAGGGGTGGGATTTTAATTGCCCTTTTCATGCATTTTATTTCTTTTCTTCTTTAACCCAGTTTTTGTTTTCTGATGATTTTCAGTGTTGGAGAGTGAACCCATGGTTTCTCATATACTAGGCAAGCACTCCACCACTAAACTATATCTAAGTCCTATTTTCAGATTTTTTAAAAGATTTATTCATTTTTTTATATGTTTGAGTGTTTTGCTGTTATGTATGTACATGCACTATGTACATGCCTAGTGCAGAAAGAGGTAAGAAGAGAACATCAGGTCCCCTGGATCTAGAATTATGGATGGTTGTGAGTCACCATATAGGTACTGGGAATTGAACCTAAGTCCTCTGAAATAGCAGCAGGTACTCTCAACCTCTGAGCCATCTCTTCAGTCCTGTTAAATTTTTGTTTGTTTTTCCACAATAAAGTTTCTATGCATAGTCCTGGCTGTCCTGGAACTTATTCTGTAGACCAGGATAGCCTCGAACTCAGAGATCCATCTGCATCTGCCTTCTGAGTGCTGGGATTAAAGACATGGCACCACCACCTCCTGGCTGTTTTGCCTGCAAGGCAAGTTCATGCAGTACCCACAGCGGCCAGAAGAGGGCATAGTATTCCCAGGAACTGGAATTACAGGTGGGTTGCCAGAGTGATCTTAACCACTGAGCCATCTCTACAACCTGTGTTTTCAGAATTTTTAAACTTTCAATTTTTAAAATATTTTTGGAAGAGTTTCCATATATACTCAGTCAAATTATCTAAATTTTGAGAAATCATATAACTATAGTTTAACTGTAAAAAAAAAATAGAGAACATTGTCCTTTAGTACTGTTTCCTTATCTGGAACAGTTCATTTAGTCTTTCTTGTCTTTAATTACTTTGACTTTTCTTTTTGTTTTTGTTTCTGTTTTTTTAATTATTTTATTATATTTTTATTAATTACACTCTATTCACTTTGTATCCCCCCATAAGCCCTCCTCCCCTCTTAATCCCACTTTCCCTCCCCCTTCTTCACGAGTGCCCCTCCCCAAGTCCACTGATAGGGGAGGTCCTCCTCTCTTTCCTTCTGATCTTAGTCTATCAGATCACATCAGAAGTGGCTGCACTGTCATCTTCTGTGGCCTGGTAAGGCTGCTCCTCCCTCAGGGGGAGGTGATCAAAGAGCAGGCCAATCAGATTATGTCAGAGGCAGTCCCTCTTCCTATTACTATGGAACCCACTTGGACACTAAACTGCCATGGGCTACATCTGTGCAGGGGTTCTAGGTTATCTCCATGCATGGTACTTGGTTGGAGTATGAGTCTCTGGGAAGACCCTGTGTTCAAATTTTCTGGTTCTGTTGCTCTCCTTGTGGGGTTCCTGTCCTCTCCAGATCTTATTATTTCCCAGTTCTTACATAAGATTTCATGCACTCTGCCCAACAGTTGGCCATAAGTCTCAGCATCTGCTTTGATAGTCTGCAGGGCAGAGCCTTTCAGAGGCCCTCTGTGGCAGGTTCCTAGGTTGTTTCCTGTTTTCTTCATCTTCTGATGTCCTTCCTCTTTGCCTTTTGGGATGGGGATTGAGCATTTCTGTTTTTTTAAGACAGGGTTGATCTATGTAGCCCTGGTTGTCCTGGAACTCACTATGTAGTCCAGGCTGGCCTCAAACTCACATAGAGATCCACCTACCTCTGCCCCCTGGGTGCTGTGATTAAAGGCATGCACCACCACTCTCAGCTGACTTTGATATTTTTTAAGTATCCTGGCCATTTATTTTACAGATTCAGGCTTGTTGTGACTATATTAAGTTTAGTTTGCTTAGTTGGTTGGCTTTTTCTTTATTTTGGGTTTTGTTTGGTTTTTTGAGACTGGGCTATAGCATGATCCTTTCTCACAAAGAAGGAAAGGAAGTCCATGGATTCCCACCATCTACCACATGTGAATTCATTTACCTTGCCTTCTCTATTATTATGAATTAATCATTTTTTGCTATCATTAAAATCTAATCTTTCCACTTTGATTTTTTTTTAAAGCCCCATATTCTCTCCCTGTTTCTTTTTTTTTTTTTTTTTTTTTTTTTTCTTAAGCCAGGGTCTCACTATGCAGCTCTGGCTGTTCTGGAACTCACAGAGATTTCCCCCTCTGCCTTCCAAGTGCTGCAATTAAAGATATGTACCACTTCACACAGAAAAGGCTCCATATTGTCTTGAGGACATCGCTTCACTGGTTTTCTACTCTATAAAAAACAGTTATCATTAACACAGAAATGTTCTATTATTGCTTCCCTTCTTAGAAAAGATGTCTCATATTTCTGGTGCTGGGAATTGAACCATCTCACATGTTCAGTACACACTTTATCACTAAGCTACAACTCCTGACTACTTTCATTTTTCATTTTTTTGTTAAAACTTTATTCAGATGTATCTTACATACCACAAAATTTACCTTTCTGAAGGGTATTCAGTGGTTGTAGTATGTTCATGATGATATGCAAGCATCACCATGATCAGTTTTTGAACTTTTTTATTCTAGACTCCTGCTAGAGATGTTTCATACTCATTAGTAGTCCCTCCCTCGACAGCCTAACTTACTTATTGCTCCAAACCAGTGAAAGACCCTATCTCAGAAACAAGGTGAGTAGCACTTAAGGAACGACACACAAGATTGACCTTTGGCCTCCATGTGCACTTTCACACATATGCACTGCACAAAAAAAAGAGTAATGTTTTTTTCCAAGTTCCTAGTGTTGATGTATATGTTACTTCTTTTTATTACAAAATAATATTCTATTGTACAAACTCTATTGGAGTTTGGCTTGTTTTGCTAAGACTCTGAGATGTATTGTTAAATAATATATCTGATGTCTCTCTGGTTTATATAGCACTCATAGCTATAAACTTCCCTTCTAGAACTGTTTTTTCTATATCCCAAGGGTTCTGGTAAGTTATATGTCTGTGTGTCTGTGTGGGTTTGTGCATGTTGAGTGCATGTGCCTGTAGAGGCCAGTGATATCAAATGCCCCAGGAACTAGGGTTACATATGGTTGGAGCTTCATAATGTGGTGTCTGGGAGCAAACTCAGGTGCTCTGTGGGAACAGTACCTGGGTTTTTTGTTTGTTTGTTCAGACAGGGTCTTATTATGTATCCCTTGCTGGCCTGAATCCAGCTATTTGGCTCATAGACCTACCTGTCTCTGCTTCCTGAGTGCTGGAATCAAAGGCATCCCCCATGCCCATGCAGTGCCTGATCTTAGCTACTAAGCTATTTTTTCAACCCCTAAAATAAAATAGATCTTTAAAAAGTTTTTAAAGAATATTTTTTTGCTTTTATTTTTATGTGCATATGTGAATGCTTACATGTATGTATGTATGTACCACATGCATACCTAGTTCCCAAAGAGGCCAGAAAAGGACATGGAACTAGAGTTTAAAGTGGTCGTGAGCTACCTTGTAGGTGTGGAAACTAAGCCCAGACCCTCTGCAAGAGCAGCAAGTGTGTTCTAACTGCTGAGCCATCTCTACAGCCCTCTTTAAAAGTTTTTTTTAAAGAAGTCATTATGATTTTTTTTTTGCTTTTCTTTTTTTTATTTTTTATTTTAATCACAGGTCATTCACTTGTATCCTAGCTGTAGCCCCTTCCCTCTTTCCCTCCCAATCCCTCCCTCCCTCCCTCATCTCCTCCCTGCCTCTTTCCAAGTCCACTGATAGGGGAGGTCCTCCTCCCCTTGCATCTGACCCTAGCTTATCAGGTCTCTTCAGGACTGGCTGCAATGTCCTTATCTGTGGCTTAGAAAGGCTGTTCCTCCCTCATCGGGGAGGGGAAGCTCAATGAGCCAGCCACTGAGTTCATGTCAGAGACAGTCCCTGTTCCCTTACTAGGGTACCCATTTGGGTACTGAGCTACCATGAGCTACATCCGAGCAGGGGTTCTGGGTTATCTCCATGCACGGTCCTTGGTTGGAGAAACAGTCTCATAGAAGACCTCTGTGCCCTGATATATTTGGTCCTTGTGGGGCTCCTGTCCTCTCCAGGTCATACTAACTCCCCCTTCTTTCATATGATTGTCTGCACTCTACCAAAGGTTTGGTTTTGAGTGTCAGCATCTGCTTTGATACACTGCTAGGTAGAGTCTTTCAGAGGCCTCTATGGTAGGCTCCTGTCCTGTTACTTGTTTTTTCCTACTTCTAATGTCGATCCCATTTGTCTTTCTAAGTGAGAATTGATCATCTTACCCCCGGTCCTCTTTCTCGTTTATCTTCTTTAGGTGTATAGATTTCAGTATGTTTATCATATCTCATAGGTTTAGTACTCACTTATAAGTGAGTATATACCATGTGTGTCTTTCTGCTTCTGGAATACCTCACTCAGGGTGATCTTTTCTAGATCCCACCATTTGCCTGCAAATTTCATGATTTCCTTTTGATTCTTTAATATTTGTTCAGCCTTGCTTTGTGGCCAGAAAGAAGGTGTTCTAGAGTAAAAAAAGTTCCTAAGAAGAATGCATCTATGGAAGAGACTTTTTTTTTTTTTTTTTTTTTTAGTTAGGTCCATTTTTGATCTGTGGTTAATTTAGTTCTGAAGATTCTTGGTTGATTTGTTTGTTTGTTTGTTTAGATGACTTAGCTAAAGATGAAGGTGAGTATTGATATTACCCACTATTATTTTATGAGGGCCTATCTGACCTCTATACCCATTAGTGTTTGTTTTAGGAAACTGAGAAAAATCCCCAACATTACATGTTCATATATATATTTACCATTGCTCTCTCTGTGTAGTGGTTTGAATGAGAATGGCCTCCATAGGCATGTTTAAATGCTTGATCCCATTTAGTAGAAGTGAATGGGAAAGATTAGGATATGTGTCCTTGTTGGGAGCTCTGAGATTTCAAAAGCCACACCAGGCCCAGTCTATGTCTTTGCCTCCTGCCTGTGAATCAAGATGTAAAGCTCTCAGCTACTGCTCCCACCATGAGGACACAGGACTAAAACTCTGAACTTGTAAGCCAACCACCAATTACGTATTTTCTTTTTATAAGAGTTGCCATGGTCATGGTGCCTGTTCACAGCAGTAGAACAGTAAATAAGACAATCCTCTTGTTGGATTGCTCCCTTTATTAATATGCAGTGGCCTTCTTTATCTGTTCTGGCTAATTTTGATTTGACTTTATCAAAGTTAGAATCGCTACACCAGCTTATTTTCAACTTACATTTGCTTGACAAATTGACTTTCTTGCTGTGCTTCTCACTCAGTGAATGTCTTTACCTTTGACCCCGGCTGGTAGCATCACATGTTGGAAGCAGTGAAGCACCACCCCACCAAGTTTTCGTCTGACCTCCACAGGTGTGATATGCAATGCACACAAACAAACACACTAAATGTAACTTTTAACATTTTTAAAGGATTTTTTAATATACTGCTGGATTTTGTTATTTTTTTACGTTTGTTTTCAGGATATATGTACATTGTTCTCATAATGGTTTTTATCTGGTTTAAGTTTCAGAACCTTTCTTCAGACTTTAGAGTGACTTGGCAGTTGTTTCCTCCTCCTTTCTTTTTGCAAAAGATTCGTGAAGAATTGTGTGATGGTTCATCTCAGTTGTCAGCTTGACAGGATCTAGAATCACCTAGGAGACAAGCCTCTGCACATGCCTGTGAGGGATCATCCAGAATGGGTAAATCAAGGTGGGATTGCCCATCCTGCATATGGGTAGTATCACCCCATGCACTGGGTTCCAGGACTGAGTGAGAGAATGTGAAGTTAGCACAAGCATTCGTTACTCTCTACCTCCTAATCATGGCTATGATATAAACAACTGCCTCATGCCTTTATCACTGCTATGCCTTTCCCCACCAAGATGAACCATACCCTTGAATTGTGAGCCAAAACAAACACTTCCTTTCTTAAGTTACCTTGGTCAGACATTTTGTTGTGGCAAGGAGGAAATTAACTAATACAGCCAGCCATCTGGACAAGCCTGGATAGCCCAATTGATAACGTTTTGACCCTGAATCTAAGGGTCAATGGTTCAATTCCTTGCTACAGTTTTGTGTATGTCTTTTGTTCTTAATTGCTCGCTCTCGCTCTTTTTACTTTTGGGTTTTTCGAGACAGGGTTTCTCTGTGCGACAGCGTGGCTGTCCTGGACTCACTTTGTAGACCAGGCTGGCCTTGAATTCACAGAGATCTACCTTCGTCTGCCTCCCAATAGTTGGAATTAAAGGTGTGTGCCACCACCACCCAGCCAATTTCTCTTGTGTTAAATATATCCTGTGTGCTATAACCTTTTATTCCTTTGTAACTATGGTTTTAGTTAAATTTTCAATGATTATTCTAGGTGTTCACAATTAAAATTGCAACTTGAACAGATCTACTTTGGGTGTGTATCAAAACTGCTGTGGTAGTGAGTCAGGAAGTTGGCATGACTAAGAAGATCTTATACTACATAGCAAGGTGCTTTCAAAGAAAAGGATGAGGGGAACAGGGAATTTTTTCCCACCGTAAGTGAGATCTCTCCCATTGTCATAAAAACTGTCAATAGTTTTAATATTCCTTTATGCATTTTTTAAACAGAATTTAAAAAGTCACAAACAAAAACACCTTGCTTCATAAAATTTGTATAATCTTCAAGTTAATATCTATTCCTTTACAACATGAATTAGTGTTTCTTGTAAATTTGGTAGCAACAAGCTTTCTGTTTTGCTTATCTGATTTTCTTTTTCATCTTCATAATGTAAGTAAAGCTGGATATAGAATTCTCAGTTGACAGTATTTTTCTTTTACTATTTTGAAGTTGTCAACATACATACATTTTCTGCCGCATGGTTTCCTAGGAGAGGCAATTGTTAATCTTTTTGAGTCATTTTCATTTTTATTTTGTTAAAAAAGTAACACTTAGTCAAGAGTTATTACAAGGTCTAAAATCTCTTAAACTAATCAAAATGAAAAAGGGACGTTTGTTGTTTGTTTGTTTGTTTGTTTGACATAGCGTTTCTCTGTGTAGCCTTGGCTATCATGGACTCACACCAGGCTGGCCTCAAACTCACTGAGAGCCACCTGTCTCTGCCTCCCTGAATGCTGGGATTACAGGTGTGCGCCACAGGCACCTGACATGCTTTTTTTTTTCCTCTCATATAATACATTCTGACCACCGTTCCCCTGCCTCCACTCTTTCCAGTCCCTCACCTCCCCTATGTACTTATGAGAAAAGTTTCAAATAAATTTGAAGAAGACCAAATGTAATTGCTATAATTAAAAGAATAGATAGATAATATAAACAACACATTTAACAGTATAAACTGGCAATAAAGAGTCAAAGAACTACATACCAAATGAAAACATAATTGGCAGCAAGCTTTTCACATGATACAAACACAAATCCATTTCTATACTTTTCAGGTTTACTTTGAAGTTTTCATTATTAAGCCACTGATCATTGGGGCTTTCTTCAAGATGAGGTTTCTAACATTAATGGTACATTTTCAAGACTACGGATGCAGTTCAGTGATAAAGTGAGTACTTGCCTCCTGGCAGTCATAAGCTCCAGATTCTGTCCTGAGCACTGTAAAAAAAGAGTCCACAGAGAGATATTTGAGATTACTTTTAAAAAAATAAAAATAAAAAAACCTTAAGACCCAGCAAGCAAGATAGCTTAGTGGGTAAAGACAGTTGCCTCAGATGACTGAGTTTGTTTGATTCCTAGAACCTACATAAAGGTGGAAAGAGACAATAACTCCAGAAAACTTTCCTCTGACCTCCTCAGGCATACCATGGCATATGTGTGTATGCACATGTGCTCAGGCACACGCGCACAGGCAAACATGTACACACAGAGACAATAATAATTTAAAAATTTCCTCCTCATACTTTAGCTCTATACTCCCACTGCCTCTCCACCAACACATCTGTTGCTGAAGTAAACAGTGGTGTGGTGTATGGTCTACTGGGGGAAGCAAAGTAAACCCTTAAGCTTTTAAAATGTCAGCTTTCAGCCAATAGAAATGAAAAGATTTAAGTGGCCAAATGTTTCAGTTAGTAGTGGAAAAATGCAATCTGTGAAAATTATTGAACTAAAACTTCATACGTTTCTCCCAAAAAACAAGTATTATCAAGACCAGCACTATATTTATATTTAATTCACTGTACATATGTAACTACAGCAGATTAAATTAAAGTTGTATGAGAAACATACAACTTCATTAACTATTACCTACAGTTTTACAGTTTAATTTATTATTAAATAGTTGCCACGTGGGAAAAACAAAAATTTTGTGTTATTGGAGAAACTGGTGGGGGCCTTTAATTCCTTAAAGAAGAAAAAAAGATATACTACGCAAACCAAAATCTATTAAATCAAGAAATTCATTTTACCTTTTAAAGAAGGTATAACACTGGTAGGCAAAAGGAATCTCAAAGAAACTGAGGCAAACACAAAGGCAGTGCAAATGGCTTTGACACAGTAGAAGAGTAAGTAAAATAAAACTGTTCCTGTCAGTAGTATGTCAATGCACAAATACCAAAATAGAGATCTAGATTTGCTTTCATAAGTTTATAATAGTTTATCAAACTTTTAAAATATTTATTTAGTTTTATGGGTATGGATTTGTGCCAGAGTGTATGTATGTGCACCACATTTGTGCAAGAGCCCACAGGGATCAGAAGCATTGGAGCTGGAGTTACAGGCAGGCAATTGTGAGCCACAATACAGGTGTGAGGAACTAAACTATGATCCTCTGCTAGAGCAGTGTTTTTAATTCTTTTTCTTTTTATTTGTTACAGTAATTCACTTTGTATCCCAGCTGTATCCTCCTCCCTTGTCTCCACCCAATCACACCCTCCCTCCCTCATCTCCTCCTATGATCTGCTCAAAGTCCACTGAAAGGGAAGGTCCTCCTCCCCTTCCCTCTGACCCTAGCTTATCAGGTCTCATCAGGACTGGCTGCATTGTCTTCCTCTGTGGCCTGGTAAGGATGTTCCCCCATCAGGGGGAGGTGATCAAAGAGCCAGCCACTGAGTTCATGTCAGAAACAGCCACTGTTCCACTTACTAGTAAACCCACTTGGACACTGAGCTGCCATGGGCTACATCTGTGCAGAGGTTCTAGGTTATCTCCATTCATGGTCCTTCGCTGGAGTATCAGTCTCAAAAAAGACCCTTGTGCTCAGATTTTTTAGTTCTGTTGCTCTTCTTGTGGAGCTCCTGTCCCCTCAAGGTCTTTCTATCTCCCCCTTCTTTCATATGATTCCCTGCACTCTGCCCAAAGTTTGGCTATGAGTCTCAGCATCTACTTTGATACCTTGCTGGGTAGAGTCTTTCAGAGGCCCTCTGTATTAGGCTCCTGTCCTGTTCCCTGTTTTCTCCCTCAGGTGTCTATCCCGTTTGCCTTTCTGAATGAGGATTGATCATCTTACCCAGGGTCCTCCCTCTTGCTTAGCTTCTTTAGGTGTACAGGTTTTAGTATGTTTATCCTATATTATATTTCTAATATCCACTTATAAGTGAGTATATGCTGTGTTTGTCTTTCTGCTTCTGGGATACCTCACTCAGGATGATCTTTTCTAGATCCCACCATTTGCCTGCAAATTTCATGATTTCCTTGTTTTTAATTGCTGAGTAGTATTCCACTGTGTAAATGTACCACAATTTCTGTATCCATTCCTCAGCTGAGGGACTTCTGCATTGTTTCCAGATTCTGGCTATAACAAATAAAGCTGCTAAGAACATGGTTGAGCAAACGTCCTTGTATATTTGAACATCTTTTGGATATATGCCTAGGACACTTAATAATTTTCTAGCAGTTCATGGTTTGATTTAATCAACATTACATACAAAGAATACTGAGTCTTAAAGGAGTATTTTTAGTACTCATAGCATGAAGGGTCTAATAGTTTAGGCATAAGAGGATAGCTATATTGTACTGTTTAATTCACAGCTGTAGAATGTTTGACCTTTAAAATAAAATGAATATTCATAACTGCAGTTATAAATAATGAAATACTAGAAAACTATGAATATTTCAGTGAGATAATTTTTCATTTGAGGCCATTCATAATTTTCCTTTTAGAAATCTAAAAATAATTATTATCTTTGACTTTAAAATGTTCTGGTAGATTTAGTCATCTCTTAACTTGTTTAATATCTCCTTATTGAAATAAGTGACTAAACAATCAAGGTTCCCCTTCCTTCCTTCCTTCCTTCTTTCTTTCTTTCTTCCTTTCTTTCTCTCTCTCTCTTTTTCTTTCTTTCTTTCTTTCTTTCTTTCTTTCTTTCTTTCTTTCTTT